CTTCTTGAACGGCCAACAGTTGTAGCCTTCCAACCACTTGTTCCACTTGTTGTAGTGACGTTCCAGGATACTCTGGAACTGGGATGCGACGCCCTTCTCCAGAGTTGTAGTGCTATCCCAGCGAACGCAGTAGTTGATTGATCCTTTGTTGTGTACGAACTTGTCCATGAGGAAATTCTTGCTGGCCATGACGTTCCAGTTGACATCCTGCTTGGGCTTTGCGTTGGGGCCGATACGGTTCTGCCAGATCCAGTCCAGGTATTCTTCACTGATGTACTCGGTCGGTTTTGCGACGACACATCCGCCAGCTTTAGAGGTAATCTTACCAAATGTGGGCTCTGCACTAGTGAGGTTGGTACCAGTTGATGCGACGACTGGTGCTCCCCACACAGACATGCTTTGAACGACATCACCTCCTGCAGTTGTCTCGCCTTGTTGCAGTTGCTCTTGACCTTCAAATTGCTGCTGGTTGGTATCGTCCGAAGATCTCAGCATGGACTTTTGATCCGCGTCAGCACCGACACTTGACTCTGATGGCGTCGAAGATTCAGTGGCCGTCTGTGTAGCTTCTGACAGCCCCAGATCTCCATTACCGCTTGAGGGGAGAGAGGTTTCAGCTACTGTTGGGATCTCCGTCGAGCTTTGTGCTTCGATCCCAGTAGAGGATGAAGGAGACATTGGAACAGAGTCGGAAGATCCCGTCATCGAGGCATCCGGTGTTCCTTCTGAACCCCCTCCAGCGTTTGATCCTGGAAAGCTTACACCGGTCTCAGGAGTCGACACGCCAGCATTCGACCCGCTGCACTCAACTCCTAGAGTCCCGGATCCTTCCTCACCACTTGGTGGCGTCCATCCGCCTTCACTGGAGCCGCTGCAGTCGACTCCGAGTGTCCCCCAACCTTGATCCTCACTCGGTGGAGTCCACCCTTGGTCTTTGCCGGGCTGCTGCCACCCACCCGCACTAGAACCACTACAGTCAACACCTAGCGTTCCCCAGTCTTGATCACCGCCAGGAGGCGTCAAACCGCCTCCGTTCGAACCGCTACAGTCCACATCTAAAGCTCCCAAACCTTGATCACCGCCACCGTTTGATGGCCAACCCGCTTGTCCCTGATCACCACCAGGGTTAATAGGCCAACCCATTTGCCCTTTATCACCACCAGGGTACGAAGGCCAACCTGCTTGTCCTTGGTCACCTCCTTGGTTCGACGGCCAACCCGCTGCAGTGCCCGCCTGCCAGTCTTGTTTGCTATCACGGGGCGGCCATCCTTGACTGATACCAGTGGACTCACCAGTTGGTGGATTCACGAACTGTGTAGGTATTCCGAAGTTGCCAAAACCATTGCCCCCTGCGGTTGGAGTCAAGCGATCTGTACTTACATCAGGCGCTACCGTGCCTGCCGTCTGTTCATAGGCATTCCCACCCCCAAAGTCAAACGCGGACGACGGCGCGGCCAATGTGGCAACGAGAAGTACATACGACGGCGGTCGCGGCTTCATCGTTGATAAATCGGAAGTGTCTCCACAACACAACGGAGCTAAGTCAACAAGACTATCAGCGATAACCGGATGTATTTCAAATAGAGATAAGTAAATATAAGTAATAACGGTGTTGTTAGGATTTGTCGAGTGTGCCTCGCGCTCGTCGTTTGGCAGCCTGAAAGCCCACATATTCTCCTTAGACTCGTTGAACAGAATGGAAAGCCTTTACGAGCGAACAGTAAATTGGGATGGTGAACACATCTCAAGCTTGTCCGACAAAGTGTCTTGTGGTTGCGATTCCTGTCGCGGTCCGCTCTTGCAGCATGAAATGAGTCAACATTCCGAACGGCTAAAGGAGCTGTAGCTTAGCTGAGCGCCG